GGGGGGTGGCAGGGGCGGGGCGGGCTCTGCCTCCCGCTGGGTCCCGAGCTCCCCAGGCGGGCGCGGCAGTCGGCGGGGCCGGAGGAGCGCAGCCTTCGCCGACCACCGCTGACGTAGCTGGGAAGCTGCTCTCCGGACCCCTCGGGCCGGTTCGCGAGTTCGCCGCCTCCCAGGGGACAGAAGTGAACTTCGGAAGCAGCCGCGGCCTCCGGAAGGGGGTCCGCGCTTCTCACCGCCGCCTCGCTGCGTCCTTCGCCCTACCCAGGATGCAGCGGGCACTGTCACCCGCTCTTCCAGATGAGGAAACTGAGGCACAGAGCGGTTCCCCGGGCCACAGTCAGCTTGGGGAATAAAACCGTGGGGGCACAGTGGCAGGTGGTGCCGAGAGCACCCACCTTTCCCTGGCGGGAAAACAGCCACATACGTGCGCACCTTTATGTTCATAAATGCTCCTGCGTGCTTTTTACGCGTTGGAGATTCGTGATTTTATCCACGAGAGCCGACCCTGGCCACACAGCGAAACCCGGGAAGCTCTGTAGATTCCCAGGGCGCAGGCCCCCACCGCGAGCCGAGGGCATCTGCCTTATGTTCGCAAGGAAGGTCCCGTTTTCCACGGCCTCAGAACAGTGCTGGTCCTTGTTCCCCACCCTGCCTTGCGACCCTTTCTGCAAGAGATGAGATGCGCTCGTGGGGCTGGTGGGTATGCAGAGTCCAAAGCCTGGAAGCTACAGGATCGTTTTGGAGAAAGGAGGAGGTCTGAGGAAGCCTGGAGCTGGGGGTTGGGGTGGGGGCCTGCAAAGCCTCTGATGAGAGGAGCACAGCCAATCACAGCGGACTATTAAACTCCTCCACCGTCTCCTGGGGTAACGAGCAGCCTGGCGCTCTCTGCAGCAGAGACACAGGGTGAAGGGGGCGCAGCTGCTGCGCGCCACAGCCCGGCCTCTCAGCCTGCACCACCCTGACCCCTCCCACGTGCCTGTCAGCCATTGTCACCTTAGCTCTGGTGACCCAGCCCCGGCCAGCTGAGGGGCTGTGACACAGGTGGGTGGAGGACCCAGAGAAAGGGGCGCCTGTGGACAGCAGCGTCTCAGAGGGGACCCGGCAGGCTGGCATGGAGGGGTGAAGGCCACTGCTCTGAGGCAGGGTGGGAGCTGAGACCTGGAGAAGGGGAGGAGGGTGCATCCAGAGACAGAGAAGGCCCGGCAGCAGGATTCGCCTCGCCTCCTGGGACTCAGCGAGACCATGTGGAAAACAAGCTGAGCGCTCTGGGTGCACAAACCGCTTGGCCCAGTGAACTCGGCCGGCTGACAGCCGGGCTTGGCTGTGGGCCTTGGAAAGTGCAGCAACCAGACCCAGAGCTCAGGTTCTAAGGCCCTGACCTGATCTTGGCCAGGCGGTAAGGGAGGCCCCGGCGGGGCTGCTCTATCCCTGCCACTGCGGATGGGTGTCGTCCAAGAGCCATGAAACTGACACCTTTCCCGCACGTCCTGGCCCTGTGTGCAGCCAGGCACCAGTGGTGGTCAAGCCCTGCTGCCTCCCAGGGTCTTGGGGTCCCCACACACACTCGCCGCCTGAGCCCCCCCTGCCATCTGGGGAGGACTGCTGTCCTGTGCCTGGTCGGAGGGTCACCAGCAACCCATCCCTGTGCCCTCAATGCCAGCCACACAGGTTGTGACAAACAAAAATGTACCCAGATTTCCCAGATGTCCTACGGGAAGCAAAATCCTCTCCAGATGAGAACTGCATATGAGCCACATAAACTCCTTTGTGAAGCACCCACCCTCGGGCATTTTGTTTAAGCAATGGAACACACTCTAGTACACCCTTTATCCTGTTTGTTCAGTGCCGCTGCTTAACTCTGGGGTGGACACCTGTTTCTCTGTGCTGTCTTCCGGGCTGCTCCTCCCAGCACAGGTCTTGGCCTGGCACATCATTAGGGTTTATATCTGGATGTCCCCAGAGCCTCCTGCACTCATACCTGGGGCTTTGGGGAAGGAGACTGGAGCATGGGATGACCAGGTCCCTGGGGATGTGGCCTAGAAAGCCTGTAAATCCCTTCCCATCTCCTCCCTGCCTCCTCTTTTCCATGCCCTGGGCAGGTTTCCCTCTGCCGTGCTGTCCCGCCTTGGAGCCAACTGACTATGGTCTGAAACATAAGCCAAATAACCCTGTCCTCCCTAAAGTTGTGGGTGCCAGCTGTTTTATTCCAGCAACCAGAGGAGTGACTAAGACACACAGTGAGCACAGAACAGTACCTGAGGGACCAGTGGGTGACAGAAAGTGGGGCTGCCAGGGGGACGGAGGAAGCAGGGCCCTGTGCAGAGCAGGGCAGGCACCAGCCTGTCTGATTCCAGAACCTGGCTGGAGCCAGCCTCATGGCTAGGACGGTCCCACGGACCCTTGTGCAAATTTAGAGAAGGATCCAAAGTTCTGTGAGGCCGGAAAATGGATTTCCCAGGAAGCCGCTGTCCTGACTAGAATGACTTGGCCTGGAAGGCTTTGCGGGCCACAGCAGTTTCCTAAAAATCAAACTAGGCTCTCTGGGGGAGCAGGGTGAAGGATCGTGGGAATTGAGAACTGGTGCCACTCTTCAGAGCCCCGGGCTGGTGCGGCAGCATCCTGGCCTCTGTCCTGGTCCCCAGTGAGGGGCATCGCTGCTCCATCTGGGGACACCATGCCCACGCGGGCCGACCCCACTCCTATGGGGAGGCTACCCGGGAATGGAGGGAGTTTGCTGGACAGACCCTGTGAGAACAGAGCCCCCAGCCCTGCAGCCACAGGGCCCAGGGACCAGAATACACGTGTGCATTCCTATGCTTATTTTGTATTTTCTTTGGTCTTATTCGAAATTATTCCAGAATAATGCAATTTTATGGCACTTGGGAAGCCCAAGGACACTTAGACAATGACCACTGACCTGCAGCAGCTGAGTGGGCACGCAGTTCCGCCTAAATTGCTGTCACAGTGCCCTACCCTTCACCCAGGGCTGTGTTCTTCCTGAGGTCTCCAGGGAGTTCTGGAAAGTTTCTGAAAATTGAGGTCCCCATAGAATCTTCAGGACAGGATTCTAAGCCCGGGAGGGGATGAAGAGGTGGGTTTGTGAAGAGCTTGGCCCTCACTGTCCAAGCTGGCTCCACCCCTTAGTTTCCTCATTGGCATAGTGGACATGGACACGGGTGTTGGAAGAGTGATGGCAGATGGTGCAAACACAGGCTGGGGACATCTGTGTCACCCTGTGCTTTCATTTTGATAGCATGTAACAATTCTCAGGCATTTCTGGTTTATTTTCATTTCTGCTAGATAATTTCCCATAGACTAGGTTGGGAACTATCTTACTGACTTTGTTTCCCCAGCACTGACCACAGCAAGCACTGAAGACAGGTGGCAAATGAGTAAGTGAAGTGATGAGCTAAAGAATTAGTTTTAAAATGAGTGAGTGAGTGGAACTTTTAGCACAGAGCCTAGAAGATAGTAAGCAAGCACTCGGCATTATAACAACACCATGTATCATCTTGCGTACATATTACAACTTTTGCTTTTAGACCAGAAGGGCCTTTTGATAGGGCAGCAAGCTAAGTAGGTGTAACGGTAAACTGATGTCAGTGGGACTTAAGTAAGAGCCATCTGGCTGTCTGGTAAAGTCCTGGGTGTGTCTGTGGATGATTGACATGTAGGCCACAAATTGAGAGAAGAAGACCCACCCTAGATGTCAGTGGCACAACCAATAGGCATGTGGCCTGGATGGAATAAAAAAAGGAAAGAAGACAGAAGTCTGCCCTTTCTGAAAGAGTTCCAGTCTCTTCCATTGCCTTTAGACATTGGCCACCATTGGTTCCTTGAGCCTTTCAACACAGGCTCACACTGACGACTCTGCAGTGAGCTTCCAGGGTATCGACCTTCAACTGCTACTGGATCCTCCAGCTCCCCAGTGTGCAGGTGGCCATTGTGAATACTTCTATCTCTGACCTGCTAGGCAGCCATTTTGGATCTTTAGCCACGGATCCTGTAGGCGGCCATTGTACTCTTCTACTTCTGATCCTGTGAGCTACCTAATAAATCCCTGTATAATTCTACATATATTGTATACTGATTCTGTTCCTCTAGAAAACCCTAATACAGTAGGAAAGTTGATGACTGTAAAGATGGTTTAATTGATGGCAGTTTTGGAAAGGAGAACTACAGGTACTCTCTCTGCAAGCAAACAATAAAAATGCTTTCCTGGGTTCTTTCTTTTTTCCAGAGAAGGGAGTGGAACCTCCAATTCTTGAAAAAAAAAAAATATATATATATATATATATGGCTGTCCCCTGTCTGTTGCTAGTGGAACTGACATGGGGCAGGCCGCATTCAGCAAACCAGCCTTGGAGAGACTACAGTTGGGTCTAGTTTTCAACCTGGTCTCACAAGGCCTCCCTGCGCTATTTGTAGAACCATCTGGTATACCAACTCCAACATCACAGAGCTTGTATGGCTGGGATGGGAGTAGAATATGCAATTCTAAAATACCAGAAGAGATGGGTTTGTTTGTTTTTAAGAAACCCAGAAGCATTTACACATCAATCATATTTCCTTGTCATACTGAGAAGGGGCACCCTTACCTTGCCATCACCTTCAGATCATCAATAAACCTATTCTTTAGAGCACCCAGCACTCTCGTCAAAGAAGCTGTCTACCTGGCACTGAAGGGTTTTTTGAAGCGCTGACATCAAATTCACACTCAGAGTTGTCACTGTGGGGATTTCCATGGACCTGGAGTTCTGCAAGCATATGTCTGATTCATTTTACTTAGCATTACAATCTAAAGGTGCATCCACTTTCCCACAAATGCCTCATGTTTATCCTTCTT